TTATATCGTTATTTGACGCTACTACTTAGTAGCTTAGAATACGATACGGAGTTGAACTCCGTTAACTGACAGACGATGCCTGCCTTGATTTTGTGACACAGGTCATTGCTACCTGCGAGTGTTCTTCGAAGTTTTGAGCTTTATCAGCTTCTGCTATCTGATTGATAGCAGGTCGGTTTGCGAATCAACTCCTACCCACCATGATACCCACGCCTAAATGTCTGTGACCCTGTAGGCGAAAGACATTCCCGTGTGAAAGAAAACCAACCCTTGGTACCTCTCTTGAATGACCATCAAAAAGCTGTGCGAATTGGGACGGGCGAATATGTCTCTCTTGAATGGGGTCGGAAAGGGGCGTGTGGGACATGAATCTGGAAGAAAGGGGTTAACCACGTTTTGTGGCATCTGCGTGTGGATTTTCATTGGACTTCATGTGTGTGCAGGTATGTATGGGAGCAACGGCTCGCTCCTGAACTAAGGGTGATATGGGTGAATGAATGAAGGGTGTGAGTGACAAGGTTGAACTATGGCTGTGAGAATGACTCTCCCTGATTTCCCCCGAGACTCGCCATTTTCTTTCTCTTATTTTCCTCCTGCCGTATGCATCTAGCAAACAGGCAGGAGTAGCCGAGCGCATGGTTTAGCGCTCGACCTTAGATCAGACTGAGACTTAGCTTGGGTACGGCGAATTGCTCGTCAACCCGTGAGTACTCGTATTTTTCTTCCGCAAGGGAAGGACGAGCGTACCCCGTCTCAAAAGGGGTCTTGCTCTTTAGAATATTAGTTGGACGTTGGTCCTGAGCCTGGAATTCGAGGTCCTTGTCCAGGACATCCCAGGCTCCAGTCCAGCACAAAAAGGTTTTCCTCGTGAGGCGGATCTGCGCCCCTTGCTTATCGTCACCCACTGCGTAGAAAACAGGGGTGCCGCAAGGGCCGAACGACTTATCCTTCAGCCGTGCATTATCGTGAAGGAGAAACCCTTCACGATATTTCGCTTTCGACACTTGAGTGTCGTACGCAACCCCGAAACCCATGGGAGGTTGCACGGATGTGAGTAACGCATGAAGCGTCGTCATGATAGCAGACTAAGTGAGAACACATGACTGAACGTTATGGTTCCCATGGCAGTGACATTTTTTTTATGTAACTCTGCGCAGACCTCACTCAGACACATTGGCAGTTCTGAGTTATGGTTCAGGACGTATGAAAAAGGGACTAGGCTAATTTGCTTATATGAGTTACTTTGTTTTATTGTGTATCGCGTGGTTGATTTAGGATGTCCTAGTCGACCGACGCTGAATCGCATATGGGAGATCAGCGCCCCAGCATGACGGTTCGCGTACGGGTCCGAGCTAGGCATGGACCGCGCGTACCCCCTATGCTACAACATACGAGAAACGCCCTCGGCTGGGCCACCTCCGTGATTGCAAGTAAAAGCTTTCGCGTGTGGTTCAGTAGCTCGGCGGGGATACGTTTACCCAAGGGATGGTGACAGCTCCCGCAGGTGGAGGTAAGTTGTACCTCGCGAGACCCTGTCCTGTCGTAGAGACTCGATGGAGGTATAGCTGGCGCACCCGGCCGGAGCGGCTCCGTCGCTTCCCGTTTCATGAAGCGACTTTCGAATACTGTCAATCCTGCGTGACGCGGCCAGAAAGGTTCCCCTAGCTGGGACCGTGTGCTCGACAACGGTGATGAGGGATGTGCAGGCATTGTTGATGGGGGAAATTGGTGGTGCTAGTGTCGAGCAATGGCCAATCACTGCACCTCCCCCTACCGCCCCCCAACCCCATTGACTTACCGTGAGGGCACGGGTGCACAACCCGTAGTTCGTTTGTTTATGTGGTTCGGGAAGGGTAAGGTAGTGAATATGTTGTGTGTATGTTTTGTCATGTTTGCTATACACAACTCGAAGAGAGTCTGTGTGGGGGGTCCCGGTTAATGCTTTATTCACGATGTTAATGGGACACTGGACCCAGTTTCCAGCAGGTGGCACTCCCCATCAATAGACATGAGAATGTATGTGCGTGGGTATGTGAGTGTGTGTGTGTGTGTTCGCAGCCCGTCTGGATTGCATTTTTCCCCCCTGAGATATTTTCGTCGTCGTTCGTTATACCGGTCGCTCATTCGGGCTCATTGGTCGTTCAAAGGCTGGTAAAATGAACGACACTGACATTTAGGGGGGAGGGAGCAGTTCAAGCAAAAGCAGGACCGGTATTTGCCTGTAGCATTTTCCTGGGAACCGGTAGGTGGCCGTGGTCTAAAATATTTTGAAACGGTGTGGGGGCCGCATGTCCTTGAAATTCAAATATGAAACGGCGTGGACCCAGGCCTACAGCCTCATGCCCAGCCCACCCACTTCGGCCCAATCGGCCTAGTCACTGTTCTGGATGATTTTGTCTGAATCTGGAAGCAGTTATGAGCCAGATTTAAAAATAGAGATGTTTTTTTTTTTTTTTTTTTTCTCTCTCTCTCTCTCAAACACACATACACACATACACACAATACACACATACACACACACATACACACATACATACACACACACATGCACATACACACATGCAAGAAGAAATAAACCGGGTACCCGAAAGAAAGCCGAAGTTAAGAAAACTAAGAAAGGACTGTACAAGGAAAAGGCAATGTGATGGGTTTACTGTGCCACATGTTCGCTATAGAGGTGAATCTGGTTCAGTTTTGGCTCTGCTCATG